CACCATCATTAATGTAACTCTATTGGCACCCCATGTGCTACCCATTATTTTTCTCATTAAGTTTAGGATTTTGGAGCATCTATCTACAGTCAAGTCGATGTGCGGTTTCCAGGTCAGCCTTCGGTCAAAGATTACGCCAAGGAACTTGATTTGGTCTTTAAACTAGATGGTTTTCCCGTTCATACACAGAGTCATTCTGCTTATCCATCTATCCTTGCTCACGAGCATACCGACCGTTTTCTTCTCTGAGACTTTAAATCCCCAGTCGTTTGCCCATGAATTTGTCTAAGGCCTTTTGCATGTTCTTTTGCAGTTCACAAAAGCTCCTCCCTTTCCTCCATATGGTACTGTCATCAGCAAATTTAGCTAAGTCAGTTCTGGCATCGAGGTAGGACGATTTCTGTATGTCATTGATCATGATATTGAAGTGGGTGGGACTGATGACCGCCCCCTGAGGCGTGCCATTTTCTAATGTTTGCCCGGCACTCAGGAATCTGCCAACATTCACCTGTATCCTTCTATCGCTCAGAAAGCTTTTGATACACCGAAACATTATGCCCGTTATACCGATACGTCCCAACTTAAAGAGCAGCCCGTCTAACCAAACCAAATCGAAAGCCTTGGTCAGATCTACGAAGAAGGCACATAACAGGCACACCGAGAGGAGTGCCTGCAACAAAACTTGCTGTAGTCTCACCAAGTGGTCCATTGTTGATCGTCCTTTCCTGAACCCGCTTTGATTTTCGTTGATCAGTCGGTTACTCTCCAGATAGAACTGTAATCGGGTATTAACCATTGTCTCCAAGGTTTTGAATGGTGTGGATGTCAAGCTTACTGGTCGATAGGACTCTGCCTTTGTCCTCTCTTTCCCCGGTTTCAGTAGAGGGATGACGTTTGCTTTCCGCCATTCTTTAGGTACCTCTCCTGACAGCCAGGATGTGTTGAAGAAGTTTAGTAGTGTCGGTTTGGCGTTTCTAGGCAGATGTTTGAGCATTGAGTACTTTACTTTGTCCTCACCAGCCGCACTATCCTTCTTGAGAGAAAGAGACTTATTTAACTCTTCCTCAGAGAAGGTTATGTTGATTGGGTCAGCCTCTGCGAGTAAAAGATTTCCTTCCTCTTCAGAAACTCTGGTGATTGGTTTTCATCTCTGCTTGCGTCTGCAAATGTTTTAGCGAGTAGATCTGCCTTTTCCTTGCCGTTGGTAACGTACTGATCTCCATCTTCAAGGTTTGGTATGTTGAATGATCTGCGGTTCCCGTTCATAGCGTTCAGCTTCTTCCAGACGACAACTGTTTGCGTGTTTTTATTCAACGTATACTATTCAAAAAAAGTTGGGGATATTTGATTTTGGGGGCATAATACTAAAATATGCAAATGACTACGAAAAAGTCACTATAGAACCTAACAGAAGAAACATTTCCAGTTACATGTGACGCCCAAACGCACCAATAGCTACCGCATGGAATGCAGGTGATGCTTGGGATCATCATGGGGGTCCAACCCAAGATTTGCACGACTCTGACTTTGAATGTTACAGTCATTGTGGCATTGAATTCCAGGGTGGAAACATCAGTTTAATTGTTTTAGTGACCAGAAAACAAATTTTGATATGCGTCGGCTTACCCAAAATGAAAGGTTACGTGCCCTTGGCATGCTACAGATCGGCACAACACAGGAGGTTGTGGCGCGGACGATGAATGTTTCTCAGTCTGTCATAAGCAGGCTATGGTCCAGATACCGTGATACACAATCTGTACAGGACAGACTACGCTCAGGTCGACCAAGGGCGACAACTCAAGCCCAGGATCGATTTATCCGTACCTTGGCCTTGAGAAATCGTGTCATCACAGCAAATCAGATCAGCGCTCGTCTTCAAACAGACACTGGTGTGAGAGTGAGTGGCCAGACGATTCGGAATCGACTGCATAGGGGTCACCTTCGCGCCCGACGTCCTCGCGTGATCCCTTGTTTGAGAGATCATCACATTCAGGCAAGACGTCGTTGGTGTAGGGATCGTCAACACTGGGATAATCGACGCTGGAGCAATGTGATGTTTTCAGATGAGTCAAGGTTCACTGTTGATTTTTTGGACAGACGTAGGAGGGTGTGGCGTCGTCGAAACGAGCGCTTCCAAGACGTTAACGTCATCAGACATGATCGATTTGGGGGTGGTTCTGTTATGGTGTGGGGAGGCATCACTGTTGCTGGAAGAACGGCTTTACATGTTGTTGCAGGGCGTGTTACAGGCCAGTACTACCGGGACAACATCTTGGCAGTCCATGTTGTGCCGTTCGCACGACGTCATGGCCGCCGTTTCATCTTCCAGGATGACAACGCAAGATGTCACAGGGCCAGGATCGTTACAGGTTACCTCCAACAACAGAACATCACCACATTACCTTGGCCAGCACTGAGTCCCGACCTCTCCCCCACCGAGCATGTCTGGGACATGCTTGGACAGAGGTTACGTCAACGTCAACAACGTCCTGCCAATGTCCAAGAACTTGCTGCTGCGTTGCAACAGGAATAGGACAATCTGGACCAAAATGACCTTAGACGTCTCATTAGGAGTATGCCACGTCGGATCAATGCTTGTTTGGCAAACAGAGGAGGATTTACCCGTTACTGACTTGGTTGTGATGCTGTGGTAACTTTGCTGTTTGACCCCGGGTATCATTTTACCCTTATAATGGTCAGTCTGTGCCTTACTTAGTCTAACGATCATTTGGAATAAATCGATGAATGTGAACTTCATTTCATTTTGTCATTTGTTTCTTCGTCAGTTTCATTAGGTGACTTTAATAACACTTAAAAATCAAATATCCCCTACTTTTTTTGAATAGTATATTACAGAATGTCATCTAGTGCCCATTTTGTGCCTTCTGGATGGTGTCTCTTGCAGCGTATTTCAACTTTAGGTAGTTTTGGTGGTTGACTTCATTGTAGTGGCGTTTCCGTAGGCGAAGTGCCTTCTTTCTTTCGTTAACCGCCTTCTGACATTCTGGTGACCACCAAGGTTTTCTAATCCTTGGTTTTCCACCAGAAGTCTTGGAAATGGAGTCGTTTGCGGCACCTATAATAGAACTCGTGATGTTGGCAGCGTACACTCCGATGTTGGCTTCGATGATATCTTCTTCCTTCCAACCAAGGCAGCCTACACGGAAGTTGGCCCAATCGGCTTCTTTCATTTTCCAATTGGGTCTCCCGTTATAGACTTCCCTGGATGCTTCAGCCTAAATGCAGAGTTCTATCAGTAGATGGTCACTGCCAAGTGTTTCATCTTCGTGTACTTGCCAGTCGCAGCGGTTTGCCATACCAAGCCTACAGAACGTGAGATCTAGGTGCGAAGGTGGGGCATTTCCTCCGACAAAAGTAGGGCTCTCTTCGTTCATTAAGCATAGATCGTTCTCTTCTATTATTGAGCATAGGCTAATCCCCCGACAGTCATTCCTCGGTGACCCCCACAGGACGTGTTTTGCATTGAAATCCCCGCAAAACACAAATTCGTCCTGAGGAAGCTGGTCGAGAAGTGACTGGAAGTCAACTGGTTTTCTCGTGACATCTGGGGGTACATAGACATTCACTATTGTCAATTTTGTATTATTGCTCAATGTGATGGCTATGCCCATTGCTTCTAGACGGTCCTCTACGTCAAGCGAAACAGAAATATAATTTAAGTTATCACTGACGTAGATGGCAAGACCGCCGCCACGTGTCGTGCTGTCCGGTCTGTCCCTTCTCTGACAAGTGTATCCGGGCAAGTAGATGTCGTTCTTGGTTGGTAGTAGCTTGGTTTCTTGGAGGCATATTACATCTTTGGGGTTGCGGGTGATGTATTTTCTCAGCTCAGCGCATCTGGGGGCCAATCCATTAACGTTTAGTTGTAGAACTTTTACCTGGCCCGCCATGATGACTGTCCGGATGGATGCCTCTCTGTCTTGTCTATTTATTGGTCAATTGGCATTTCACATTCCATAGGAGGTACCTCATTAGTGTTCGTCTTTGGTGTTAAAACTGGCAAGCAAATGGGCATATCGCCAGTGCTGTAGTGACGAACATGAGATATCCTTCTACGGAGTGCGAGGTTTGCCGTTTGATCGCCTTTTGTGGTTTCTTCGTCGTCGTCTTCTTCTCTTGATCTTTTTTTTACCGTGTTGATTGAATTAATCATGACACACAGGACATCGGCGTTGACCATGTGTGTCCTTATTTTGCCATCTTGGTAGTTTGGTCCTCATTGGACACGGCCACCCTGAGGAACTTGATCATGAAGTTCATGAAGCCACTTTCCGTTTTAAATTTAGGAATGAACTGTTCTTTGTGAATCTTCGTTTGCGGTTCCTCTTCTTTCTTCTTGGATGGATTTGTCTTCTGTTTGACCTCTACAGGTTTGGCAGATGTTTTCTTCTCTTTCTTCTTCTTGTCTTTACCTTTAGGGGTGGGGGTTGCATCGGACGTCGAGAGAGTCGGTGCTGGAGCTTGTTTTGGTTCCACCACCGGTTCTCTGACTACTTTTGCTTCTCTCTCCTTGTTCTTTACTTGCTGGGTTGCCTCCCTAAAGGTAAGTTTATCTTTGCTTTGCAGACGTAGTGCTGCTTTGGTCGCTTGTATTCTTGGGCATTGCGGGGAGTTGGCTGCGTGGCTGAGGTGATATTTATATCAGACTTTTATAATACTTTTGCAGATGAGATGATTCTTATGGAAGTCATTTATTAGCTTTTTGATTGGATAATTACTAAGAGAAATTCCCTCCAAGGTGGGAATTTAAAAATAATTTCCCTTTTTAATTTAAAGTAACCCGTTTGTTTAGCAATTAACTTCTTGTCTGTGTGTTGACAGGGACAGAAAATATGAATGGCAATATGCTTTATTAGTGAAAAAAAAACCCTTCTTATCTGTGTGTTGACAGGAACAAAACATATGAATGGCAATATGCTTTAATAGTGAAACTTTTATAGCCTATTGTCATTCTTTAGATAAACTAGCAAAGGAATAAATACTGTTTTCATATAGTTTTAATCCAATACAAATAAGCTGTTTGTAATGTACATGTACGTGGTTTTAAAAAAAAAAAAAACAAATTTATATGTATCTATGGTAGCACAAAATTCATCATTGGTAGGCCGATGCATGTAATATTCGTGTAGTAATATATATCTTATTTTTTACACCCACATTTCAATCCCATTTCAATCCAATGTGCTGTTTTCTAAATTATAACCATTTTAGGGTATATTATTTCTAAGGTTTAAATGGTTGGTTATATTTTCATCACTTTGTTCATCAAAAGTTGACATTAGATTTGCGCCCCAAAAGAATGTTTATTAAACTATAATTATTGCTTAAAATTAAGAGATAGGTTGCCAGCCAACAAAACATACACCCATTACAGCTAAGTCGTCCGGACAGTTAAACAAGGGTTGTCACATATTTTTTTCTTTTGTTGGTAATGAAAACATTTACAACACACTATAGTCTGATTAAGAGTAACAACCCATTAAGTAATTATCAGAAATCATTAGAATTGTTTTGGCTTGTAGTTCTACCCCATGCAAACGTTTAGTATAAATTTAAAGTCAATCAGATATTAACTTTAGCTTCTAGAGTGTCCACAAGATTTTCAAAGTGATCAAGGGCTAAACTCTGGCAGTAATTATCAGAAAGCATGGACAATAACTCTAGCCTCCACAAGATTTATCAAAGTGATTAAGGGTCAAGTTTCGGAATCGGTAAAAAACAATAGGCTTCTTTGTCCCGTGTCTATAGACACTTGTGTATAAAATTGAAGTCATTCGGATGATAACTTTGGTCTCTAGAGCATCCACAAGATTTTTCAGAGAGGTCAAGGGCCATAATTCTGGCAGCAATTATCGGAAAGCATGGACAATAACTCTAGCCTCCACAGTGTCCACAAGATTTATCAAAGAAATTAAGGGTCAAGTTTCGCAATCGTTGAAAAACAATAGGCTTTTTTTCCCGTGACTATAGACACTTGTGTATAAAATTGAAGTAAATCGGATAATAACTTTAGCCTCTAGAGCATCGACAAGATTGATCTAAGTGATCAAGGGCCGTACTCTGGTAGTAATTATCAGAGACCATAGACGCTGTCTATAAATTTAAAGTCAATTAGATAATAACTTTATTCAGTAGAGCGTCCACAAACTTTTTTCAAAGTGATCAAGAGCCATAACTCTGGTAGTAATTATCGGAAATCTTTGAAAATCAACCAGCTTGTTAAGTCTCATGAGGTATAAATTTAAAGCCAATCAGATAATAACTTTAGCCTCTAAATGACAGAAGGACAAGGGTGACAACAATATATGACCACATTTCAATGTGGGTGTATAAAAAAAAACTTTAGTACCTAGGTCTATAACAATGCACATTAAATTTAAGAATAGGATGACTAAAATCTGTATAAAGTTAACAATATCTCCACATTGGTGCAGAATATACAGTCACAGACACTCATTTTCCAAATACAACTGTGAATCTGAAAATCAAAATCATATAAAGGTAATACAAAAATTAATACAAGTTGCCAGGAAATGAAACATATGCCTATATCAGCTAAGTTGTTAGAGCAGTCCACAAGGCCAAATCTTTAGATGGTATAATTAAAGTCTCTAACTCAAAATCATCCAAAATCTTCGACATTGTAAACGCGATTTATTTGTCGCTTTAAATTAATATTGATGTTGTGATCTTACCGGGAAAAGATGGCCTTCTGATATCCAATATTTAATACAAAATAAACATTTTACAATTGGTACACGAATCGTGTACCATAATGCGTTTCAGTGCTATTTGTAATAAGGGACTCGAAAAACGAGCCTAGGCATATTCCACAAGTCATGTCAAACGGTGACGCTATATTCTTATCTGGAGAGCAGGCCCAATAAATACTATCAGCGTAGACTGGAAAAACCAGACGCTAGAGATTGAAATTCGATTGAGAATACTGGCGTATTTCGCCGAACCTAACTGATTAGAAATTACAGTAAAACAGAAACGATTGAATGTAAATCAAGTTATATAAATTCATATTGCATTATTGTATGCGTTGCGACCCATTTGTGTCAATTTCTAGGTCCAAAATATTAGCGACTTAGCTCCTTTAACAAGAGCAATGCTAATGCTGTATGATACATCCACATTCCTGCTTTTCAAAAAGATAGGTTGCCAGGCAACGAAACATACACCCACAGCAGGGAGTCAACAAGGGTTGTCGCATATTTTTTTATTTTGTCAGAAATTAAGAGTGTATCCACAAGAAGACCAGGCAAAAATCGCAAAAACTGCTAAGATGGGGTGTCGGTCAAACTTATGGTATGACACCCCCTAGGGGTAATAAGTGGTTCCAACCTGATGTCGCTATAAACGACTGTACTGGAAATAGTCATTTTATGGGTAAAAATTTAGTTTTCATGTATGTATTTTATCACCCTTTTTAAGCACAGATTGCATTCTAATATATAGGATATGAACAACACCATTTCACCCTTAAATTTAATGGGCTCTTCCATTAAAAGGCAACAATGATTGGATAATTGCTCGATAGTTTCCGCCAAATAGCTAAAATTACTGAAGTAATCACGTGTAATTACGTGCATGTTTTTGTTTATACGTCGCCATTTTCGAGTATTGAATAGCAAGCAAAAAAAAAATGGATAGCAATACGAAGTCAGACAAATAATCAATCCCTTTTGTTGGCTAAAAGTTTTAGCCAACATATTGACGATGGAATAGATGCGAATGCAAATATCGATGAGGATCTATCCAAAGCCTGGAGAAAATTTGGATCAAAAGGCATTCTTTTCCGATAATTCTGACAGTGAACACTGATTGAAAGGTTTCGGTATGTTCAGAGAAGGATTTGACTGACTGTTTTAAGTGGACTGTACCCAAAAATACTTTATTATAAAGGAACTCTTGGGCAATAAATACTTTCAAGTCTAGGAGTGTGTGGACGAAAGAAAATTCAGAAAGATATCTTAAGACATGGAGTATGGATAACCGATTTAAGTATGCCGATAAGTACGCCGTCTATTTCGGTCTTGAATGTTACAAACTGTGCATAACAATTTTTAATTGTCAAAGGAATAAAAATTTATTTCTGCGTTTTTTTGTATTTTTTTGATCAACTACGTCATCAGTGGTTGATATGAGCCGAATATATCGACCTGAGATGACGTCATCAGCGGTTGATATGAACGAATATATCAACCTATGATGACGTCATGACAGGTTGTTACGAGATATAACTGCTATGGACATCAAAGAAAAAACTACCGCCAGTTGTATATGGTGCAATAGCAACCTTATAATGTTGACACTGATAAAGCGGGTGGTCAACTTTCACCCCAGCACTAATTTGAAAAATACCAGCGACTGCCAGACAGGATACGCCCACATTTTGCAAGAGATTTTTCGAACAATCAGGGGCCATAATCCAGGAAGTTAAGTTCGGGTATCCGCGATTATCAATAGAAACCAAGATCTTAGTGTGTAATGGTGATATATTCACACGTTAGTGTGACCTCTACAGGGACCACAAGCTAAAAACCTGATTTTTTGTTCAATCAAGGGCCATAATTCAAGAAGTTACGATCCGATATACACGAATATCAAAAGGAACCAATATCTTTGGGTTATAAACATGTTTTTCAAGTTTCATCGAAATTGGATCAAAATTGTGACCTCTGGAGGGTCCACAACCTTGATTTACAAGATGTTTACACTATTTGCATACAAGGGATGATAACTTTAGCCTTTAGAGCGTCACAAGATTTTGCAAAGTGATCAAGGGCCATAACTTTGGCAGTAATTATCGGAAATCATTGAAAATCCATAGGAATCTTCGTCTCATGACCTCAAACACTGTGTATAAATTTAAACTCAATCGGATATTAACTTTAGCCTCTAGAGCATCCACAAGATTTTTTGAAGTGATCAAGGGCAATAACTCTGGCAGTAATTATCGGAAACCGCTGAAAATCAATAGGCTTCTTCGTCTCATGACCTTAAACACTGTATAAATTAAAAGTCAATCGGATATTAACTTTGGGCTCTAGAGCGTCCAAAAGATTTTTCAAAGTGATCAAGGGCCATAACTCTGGCAGCAAATATTGGAAATCATTGAAAATCAATAAGCTTTTTCCTCTCATGACCTTAAACACTATGTATAAATTTAAAGTCAATCGAATATTAACTTTGGCTTCTAGAGCATCCACAAGATTTTTTGAAGTGATCAAGGGCCATAACTCTGGCAGTAATTATCAGAAATGACTGAAAACCAGCAGGCTTCATCATCTTATGACCTTAAACACTGTGTATAAATTTAATGTCAATCGGATATTAACTTTAGCCTCTAGAGCATACACAAGATTTTTTGAAGGGATCAAGGGCCATAACTCGGGCAGTAATTATCGGAAATCGTTGACAATCAATGGGCTTCTTTGTCTCATGACCTCAAACACTGTGTATAAATTTAAGGTCAATTGGATATTAACTTTGGCCTCTGGAGCGTCCACAAGTTTTTTCAAAGTGATCAAGGGCCATAACCCTGGCAGTAATTAGCGGAAATCGCTGAAAATCAATAGGCTTCTTCGTCTCAAGACCTTTAACACTGTGTATAAATTTAAAGTCAATCAGATATCAACTTTAGCCTCTAGAGCGTCCACAAGAATTGTGGATGCCGGACCGACGGACGGACGGGGGCGACGACAATATACAACCACATTTCAATGTGGGCGTATTAAAAAGGGATCAAAATTGTGGCCTTTAGTGGGTCCACAACTTTGAAAAACCAGATGTTTACACTATTTGCGCAGGAATGGCGGGGCTATTTGTCCGGCAGTTTTGGTCCAATTTTCATGAATTTCAAACTCAGACAAAATTATGGTGTAACGGTGATATATTCGAACATTTTTATACGCCCACATTGAAATGTGGTCGTATATTGCCGTCGCCCCCGTCCGTCCGTCGTCCACAATTTCTTGTGAACACTCTACAGACTACATTTATCATCTGATTGTTTTGAAATTGATTTATGTTGTTTGCATTAGTGAGATGAAGAAGCCTATTTAATTTCAATAACTTCCGTTAATTTCTTCTGGAGTTATGGCCCTTGTTTCACTTTGTTGCACCTTGTGAACGCTCCAACGACAAAAATTATCAACCGATCTGCATGAAATTTATATGCATCATTTAAATTAGTAAAACAAAGAAGCCTATTGAATTTCAGCAAATTCCGTTAATTACATCTAGAGTTATGGCCCTTGTTTCACTTTGTTGCACCTTGTGAACGCTCTAACGACAAAAGTTATCAACCGATCTGTATGAAATTTATATGCATCATTTAAATTAGTAAAACAAAGAAGCCTATTGAATTTCAGCAAATTCCGTTAATTACATCTAGAGTTATGGCCCTTGTTTCACTTTGTTGAATCTTGTGAACGCTCTAATGACAACAGTTATCATTCGATCTGTTTGAAATTGATATGCATCATTTAAATTAGTGAAACGAAGAAGCCTATTGAATTTCAGCAATTTCCGTTAATTACGCCATGAGTTATGGCCCTTGTTTCACTTTGTTGTACCTTGTGAATGCTCTAACGACAAAAGTTGTTATCCGATCTGTATGAAATTTATATGCATCGTTTAGATTAGTAAAACAACCAGCGGCTGCCAGGCAGGATACGCCCACATTTTCGAGAGATAGATAGAGAACAAGCTTAAAAGAAAGTGATTTTTCCTACAATCAAGGGCCATAATTCAGGAAATTACAATTCAGTATGCGCAAATATCGAAGGGGACCGAGAACTTTGTGTTATAAACTTACATTTCAAGTTTCAACAAAATCGGATTAAAATTGTGACCTCTATAGGGTCCACAGTCTTGATATACCATATTTTTACGCTATTTGAGAACGAAGGGCGGCCATTTTGTCTGTCAGTTTTGGGCCGTTTTTCACGAAATTCGAACTCAGCCTCCCTTAACGTCTAACGGTTATATAATAATACGTTCTTTTAAATCGGATAAAAATTATGACCTCTATAGGGTCCACAAGCTAAAAACGCGATTTTTCGTACAATCAGGGGCCATAATTCAGGTAGTTACGGTCCGATGTGCGCAAATATCGAAAGGAACCGAGATCTTTGGGTTATAAACTTACATTTCAAGTTTCAACAAAATCGGATTAAAATTATGACCTCTATAGGGTCCACAAGCTAAAAACGCGATTTTTAGTACAATCAGGGGCCATAATTCAGGAAGTTACGGTCCGATATGCGCAAATATCGACAGGAACCGAGATCTTTGGGTTATAAACTTACATTTCAAGTTTCAACAAAATCGGATAAAAATTGTGAGCTCTATAGGCATACATGCCAACCTGAGGAGATTGAAAATCAGAATGCCTTGTATTGAGGGTAGAGCAAGGACCGCAGGTCCAAGTTCAATCGGTGCAAAGCACGGTGAGTGCATGAGGCG